TGCCCTGTGTGTGCAATTCATAGAGCATGTTTATCGGCTTTGTGTGTGTGTGTGTGTGTGTGTGTGTGTGTGTGTGTGTGTGTGTGTGTGTCTTCGTTTATCTAGATGTGTTCAGACTCTCCACACCCCATTAAGTTCTCTAAATATCATACTTCCTTCCACCCTCACCCTGGCTTCTGTGCCTTTGAAGTTTACCCAGGAGGTGGTGCAACTTTGTGTCTCTGACATAGCTTGGAAGCTTTTTCTGAGGATGTGAACCTGATTGTCAACTCTGTACAAAGTCCTGTTTCGGAAATCCTCCCTGACCCGGAGGCGTCTGCTCTGGGAAACTCCACACTGGCAGGGATGCCTGCTTGATTTTTCTCTGACATTTATTAAAACGAAGAGAGAGAGAGAGAGAGAGAGAGAGAGAGCCCTTGCCATTGTGTGTGTGTTTGTGTGTGTGTGTGTGTATGTGTGTGTGTGTGTGTGTTAGGACTGCTAAAACACACATATACTCCTAAACTTCATGCACTTCATTTCTTAATATTCCTGCTCTTCCCTAAGTAATGAACATTTATTTGAGAACAAGACGCAGTTTTATCCTTAAGGGGGGAAAATGCTCTTCTAGAGAAAACCAGTACAACAGTAGTACAGTCAAAAGGGACCTAAAGAGAATGAAAAAGCTAACAAGGAAAGGGCTGGATGGTAGTTATGCATTAACAAATCTATACCTGGTATATTCTGAAGGGGAAAAATAAAGAAATGGTATGAGGTCGTTTACGCAGGAGTGGGTGGCTTGGAAATTTAATCTAGCTCAATTGTCAGAAAAGGAGAATTTAGGCAGGGGCGTGGGCATGCCTGCCAGACCTGTGCTTGCCAGACAGACAAAGGGGTCTTTAGGAAGGTGATAAACGGGCGCGTGGGGCTCCGGGGAGAGGCGGAGGCTGGGACTGAGGGTCTAGGCTCTTTGTTTCCTACCGAGTGGTGGGCTAGGAGGGTAAAGCCGAGCCCCAGACAAAGCGGCCAAGCCTCGCCAGGATGCTGAGGGTTCGACCCCAGCCTCGGGACCCTGGAGAGCAGACGTGGGCGGGGCGAGCGGGGCGCTGGGGTCGCCAGATGCGGCGAAGCATTCTCCCCGAGCCTCCCTACAGCCCAGGCGGGAAGGAGAGAGCACTCTGAGCCCCTCTGGGGGAAACAGATCCGGGACACTACACCTTTCACGGGTGTCATTTCCCGCTGGCCCTTTCCTGGACGTTGCCGGCTGGTGGGCACAACCCTGGGCGCTGAGGATGGGGAGGCGGGCACGGGCGCGGTGGTCGGACCCGGGGCTGGGCTTTCGTCCGCACCGGTTTCAAGCCCAGATACGGTTTCTTGCCTGCGGATCTCAGAAGGGGTGGGGCGGGCGCCTGACTTAACCAAACAGGAAGAGAGGTGCGCGCCGAGTCTGCGTCCTTCTCCCCCAGAGCTGGCGGCAAGGCTGAAAGGCTGAGTGAAAAGATAGAGAATGCCTTTAGTGCAGGAATCAGACCTTCGCTTACATTTTTTTTTTTTTTTTTACTTTTCACTGTTAAGTCAGCAACTGGCTCCTCCTCCTTAATTAAAGCCCGCAATTTCAGTCCTGCGGGGCGAGGCCAAGAGCCGGCTGCAGGCATCTCGCTGGAACCCGTACCCCGTGGCGTCCCGGCTGCCGCGGCCACTGCCTGAGAGCCGGCGCTGCCTGGAGCTATGTGAGGACAGCTAGTGCCCCTGGGCGCTCTTTCCCTTTCCCCTAAGATGAAACATTCGATGGAAAGGCTTGTGATCTAAACTCGTGGTTTTGTTTCAACTCCCAAATAGTGCTTCTGGAGGAGAAGTTGACTCATCAAACTATCCTACCGTCCGATTGACTCGCTTTCTACCCCAACCACGTGGAGAAGTCAGTTTTGAGACGAGTAAACTAGAGGGGAGGTTTGGCCCCAGAGCCCAGGGTGGTATTCATAAGTGAGGTAACAGAGGCAGTCTCTGGCCTTTGGGGGGCACTGCGTGCCTTGTGGGTGGGCTGTAGTTTCAAAGAAGGGCCTTCTATAGCCCTTAAATCTTATAGCATCCCCCTCAATTTACATTTAAGTTTTCTGCTGCCGTTTTCTGCAATAGGCACTCAGCTTCATTTTCTATTCGACCTCTCCCCTCCCTGACTGGAGGTCTCATCTAGAGTTAGGGCAGCTTTAATCTTGTATACTACAATGTGGGAGCAGTCGTTCCATGCAGACAAAAAAAGAACCAGCACAACTTTCCCGCTGACAATCCATATTCTTATTTCTCCAGAGGAATTACTGGCAGAGTTTTTATAAGGAATTATTTCAGAAAACGTCCAGTAATAAATATTGGACACTTAACTTTGATACTTCCTTCCACAAAAGCCTGTTATTTGACTGTTGTGATGACTTGGCTAACAAAGTTTAGATCAAAGTGTATTGAAGGTACTATATTAAGTAGTGTACTCTTGACTGGCTTTTTTTTTTTTTTCCTTGATGCGCCTCACAATTGGCCTTTGACTTAACTGGCTCTGCGTGCTCTTTTGGGTATAATTGGAAATGTGTTAACTTAAGGTTCCCACAAATAAAATATGTGGGCATGCCTATTGAATGAGATAGGAAGTTTGAAAGTCTAACATAAACTTTAATATGCTACAAATATTTGTTTTGATTGTGTTTCCTTAAAACTCGCTACACACTATTTTTCTGTTGAGCGCAAATGAGACATTAATTTTTCTTATCATTCAGAGATCTTTCTTATAATTTGACTCAATGTGTTTGATTGTCTTTCTAAATGATCAACAATATTAGCTCTGAAACTTCTGATGAAATTTGAGAGTGGAGATAAGCATTTGTACTTAGAGTAAAACCATAGTCAGCAATGTTAGTTCCAGTTTGTTTTAGGGTTGGTCACACCCTTATAAATGAAGAAATCCAGCATTTCCCCTTCACACATTTCATTTGTAATTCTACTAAAACCCAAAAGCAATAAGTTAAGGTAGAACATTCCATCTTTATTTTTAGTCATTTGGCTCTTGAGTAAGAAAACATAAAATTGCTTGCTGTCTGTGTTCTGGTTTAGTTTGTTGCAAGTTGTTTTTTTTAACACAACTTTAAACTTTTGATATTAAGGAAGAAGTTTAATTTAGTTCAAAGGGAACAAATTCATTCCAAAGTCAAGTTATGAAGAGTTTCAGCGGGGTTGAATGCCGAGTTTTTGATAACTAATTTTATGAAGTGAAATTAATCAAATGTGTTATATACTGAAGAACTAATAGAATAAATTGTGGTGAAACTTGGAAACTCATATTTCAATGAAAACAATATTTGTAGATATTAGGTAGCATGACAGATGATTTGTTTCTGTCACTAGTGTCACATAGATGACCATCTTAGTGGATGCTTTCTTAGCTCCAAATAAGCAAGGATACTTTGTAATATAGTGCTTTATGCTGAATGATATCTTCGATGTGTTGTGGTGTTTTCCCTTTAAAAGTGTATATTAAATTTTATTTTAGATAGTCTTATGCAAGAAATGTTTTTGGTGCAGCTGTTCAAAAGTCATGTCTGATCTGGAATGAGAAATAAGTAGGGGGTGGTAACATTCTTCATGCCTTGCATTTATGGGAAGGAAAAGCCTTTTCTAAGTTAGAGTGCTACCAAGGTCATGAGTGAAAAATCCCATGGGACCCGTTTAACTTTATACAAAGAAATTTACTCAAGAGGTTCAGATTGCATTAAGCCTGGCCTTCTCTCACATGAATTCCATTGACTATAAAGAGTGTGACTAGTTGTAGCTATTTCCATTCAAAGTTCTTTCCAGTTAAAGTCTGAAATTTGGCCTGTCAGCTGTTCAATGAAAACAATTCAAACAGCAGAGTAACATGCAAGCAGTTTATTCAAATAAAACTGATTTAATTATTATTATTTTTTTGAGTTGGGGTCTCACTCTGTCGCCCAGGATGGAGTGCAGTGGCACACTCATGGCCACGGCAGCCTTAACCTCCTGGGCTCAGGCGATCCTTCCGCCTCAGCTTGACAAGTAGCCAGAACTACAAGCACGTGCTACCGCACCTGGCTAATTTTATTTTTTATTTTTTTATTGTAGCGACGAGATACTGCCAAGTTACCCAGGCTGTTCTCGAACCCCTGGGCTCAGGCAGTCTTCTCACCTTGGCCTCCCAAAGTGCTGGGATTACAGGCTAGAGCCACAGCACCTGGCCTGATTTAAATTTTTTAAAGCACTTTAAAAAAATCTTGTAGGTTCTGAAAAACTCAGCACAACTAAGTACATCATAGCAAACATTCTGCCTTGTAAAAATCGTATCTGTATCTACATGTCAGTGAAGCAATCTTTCACAGATTGATTGATTGATTGTTTGTTTATTTTACTTATCTATCTACTTTTTGGAAACCAGGTCTCCCTATGTTGCTCAGGCTGTTCTCCAACTCCTGGGCTCAAGCAATCCTCCCACCTCAGCCTCCTGAGAAGTTGAGACTATAGGTATAGGCTACCATGCCCAGTGCTTCTATACATTTAAAAAAATGCAAGCCCATGAGTATTTTTACTTCTTCCATGAAAGTTTATTGATAATAAAAATAATAACTGTCATCATAGTGTAGCAATCTCTGTCTAGAAAAGATGATATTGATAGGACAGCTATTAATGGAATGAAGACTGTAAATTTTATGCCCCACTCTCAGAAATAGCGATAGATTGTGCCTGTACTCATGAGGTCATATCTCCAAAGGTCTGAAGGTTAACTTCTGTGTATTTTTACATTTTTATCCATATGTAGATATTACCACTAAACATATAATATGAAAATTGACTTCTGGGCTGCTGAGTAGCGAGGAGTACCCTATGTTTTCTTACATTCCAAATGACCTCTGCAAAATGAGTGTTATTATCCATGTATAGGCATGGGAATGCATCATTTTCATCAGTAGGATAGTTTGAAATATTAATTTTTATAGAGTTCTAAATTTCACAGCGAGTAGAAGCATATTGTGCTTTGAGCTGCTTCAAATTTAAACTACATGTTTAAAAAAGAATACAAACCAAAATACCAAGCTATAAGCCTTCAATTACAGGATTCATCCAACAGCTGTTACACAGGCAATGTTTCCATTGATAGTAAGAAAGGATTGCCTACATAATAAACACAGATTTAGACTTTGTTATTGAGCAAATAGTCATGTCAGTTTTAAACTATGTTATTGAGATTCTAATAATTAAAAAATGATATGTAAAGAAATTAACCCATGTATTGAGAAGGCTATGTTTTTTGTCATTATGTCTTAAGAAATGTGGTTTTTGATCTCTGAATCTTGGTTTACATTTATAAAGTACCAAGAAAAGAATGTATTGAATGATTAATTGGTTCAGCTACAAATGTCTTAATGACATGCATGCCATTATAGGTATCTTTCACCATCATCACTCCCACCAGCATTTCTGCTACTACCATGCTGAGTAGCTGGAACTGCTGGCATGTGTGTATTTTTTTGGTAGAAACAAGGTCTCCCAATGTTGCATAGGCTGGCCTCGATCTCCTGGTCTCCAATGATTCGCCTGCCTTGGCACCCCAAATTGTTGGGACTACAGGAGTGAGCCACTGCTCCTGGCCTGCCTGTATGTATGTAATAGAAAATATTAATAATAATGACTACTGAATGTGTTTTCTCTTTACTACAATCTGTATCTCCCTACCAAGAACTGTCAGGGAGTGTCTTGTTAAGGTGTTTTTAAGACCAATACAACTTTTAAAATTATCATTTTGATAGTGTTTTATAAATTATGTTCACATATAAAGCCCACTTGATTCTCATAAAAAATTGCATATTAAATAATGTCACTGCAATTGTCAAGAGAATATTATCTAAAAACATAAGTCTAGCAAACTATAGAATCACAACCATGCCCAGGTCACCTGATATTCCAAGATTTTCTTATCAAAAAACAAAAATTCATTTTTATAATGCATATGTACCTTCAGTGAAAAAAATGACACAATATTAGGATTCACTATTGCACAAATGCAGGAGAACTGACCAAACATTCCTTTTTCTACTACCTAAACAGAGTTAGTGAGAGGCTAGTGGGAAGCAAAGCTTTTCTAAATTTTATTTCTAATTGACGGATGATAATTGTATATATTTATGGGGCAAAATGTGATGTTTTCATAAAAGTATACATTGTGTCAGAATCAAATCAGGTTAATTAGTATATCTACCACCTCAAATATTTATCATTTTTTGTAGTGAAAAAAATTAAAATCTCTTTCAGGTATTTTGAAATATACAATGCATTATGACTAACTGTACTCACTGCACTGTAGAACACTAGAACCTATTTCTCCTGTTTAATTGAAACTTTGTACTTACTGATCAACTTCTCTCCATTCCCCAACCTCCTTCTATTCCCTAGCCTCTAGTAACCACCATTGTACTCTCTACGATGAGTTCTACTACTTTAGATTTAATATATAAATGAAATGATGTGGTATTTGTCCCTCTGTGCATGTTTTTTCTCATTTAACATAATGTCTTCTAGGTTCCATGTTGTCTTCAATGACAGAATTTCCTCTTTTGTTTTTGTTTTCCATTCAATCATCAGTAGACAGTTAAGTTGTTTCCATATCTTGACTACTGTGAAAAATGCTGCAGTGAGCATGGGAGTGCAGCCATCTCTTCAACATACTGATTTAAAGTATTTTGAGTATATGCCCAAAAGCTGAATTGCTGAATTATATTGTAACTTTGTTTTTATATTTGATGAGGTTTTTTTTTTATTTAAGTACCACAGAGTTCTTTCTTTACATGGAAATCTTTTTTTCAAAAACTTTAAATATAGTTCCTTGTCCTGTTAAATTCATATTCACTTAATTCTTATAACACCTTTTATCATGCTAGCATATATCCTTCTAATGTGCAGAAACAATTGTTCACCAGTAATATGTTTCATCAGTAATCTAAATCAAATTCTGTATTCTACTGTGTATACACAATGCTTCCTATTTTCACAAAGCTGGCATTTTTGTTTTGTTTCAGTGATGGTGAATTGTGTTTGAGTCGATCACTTGTCAATAGTTCTGATAAAATTATTCGAAAAGCTGGCTCTTCAATTTTCCAGCACAACGTAGAAGGTTGGAAAATCAATTCCTCTTTGGTCTTGGAGATAAGGTGAGTTGCTTTAATAAGGCATAATAAATTTCACATCATGTTCTCAAATACTTTGGGTTTGGTAAACTTATATCAAGCTCTTGATTTATCATTTAAGTATGAATACTTCAATAAAAGAGTGAACCAGCTCTATTTAATATTGCCCACTGTAGAATTTGAAACCATAAAACTTAAACCATTATACAGCGAGAAATTTAAGGATTAATATGTGAATTTTGAAGATAGTGTCTTTATACTAATAGAATAAAATACTCAACAGAATACTCACATTTAACACACTTTACCGGATACTCAGAGTAGAAATATATTTTAAGAATCATCTTCAACTTTTCCCTATTTAGTATTCATTATACCTTTGCGTTTTCTAAACTAGATGAAAATAGAGCTTATTATACTCATATTTAGCTGACAATTATAAATAATTTTGTCTTATTCTGTGATCTAGTATGTCTGTGAACTAATATAAAAATGAGTAAAAGTCAGAAAATAAACTTTCTAGATTGCTAGCTAGGACTAGGCATTTTAGCTGAAACAAACTCTTGAAACTAAACTCAATGCCTATGTATATCCATTATGTCATTTTCTCTTAGTATAGACCTATGACTAATAAGAAATACAGGGTCATACCTTCCTAATTATGGAGGAAAGAAGCAAATCATTTTTCTACATAATCATATAACTGTGTAGGTTGGTATATTAGAATTAGAGCCTTTCAGTAAATCAGAACTCTTTAAAAATTTGAGATAATTCAGTTTACATGATAAAATCACTTTTGTATTGGAAAAATCTATTGTTGACTGGATATTAGCACACAGATTTCATAAGAGTAGCTTAGTAATTCATAGATAAGGGACTGATTAATTTTCCTGGGTTTCTACCTACTCACTTTTTGGATTATGCTTATATATAATGTAGATTATATTATACCCAACTTGAAGGAAGAGTCTATTACACTTGTCTTTGGAGTATGCATAGCAATTCATAGAATGCGTTGTAGAAAAGGCACTCACTTCATTTTGCAATTTACTTGAAGAAATATTTGGAAACTTAAAAAAAGTTGGGTATCAGGGAAAATTAGGAATGGTTAGACTACATTTTTCTTTTTATAGATTTGGAGGTGAATGGAAAGGGAAATAGGAATCAAGTCATGGCAGTGTCAAGTGGTATGTATTTGGTAGCTTTTAGTTTAGGGAAATCTTTCTATATTTGTGAGGCTAGATCAAGAATGAGGAGATGTCTGAGTTTGCTGACAGAGTTCATAAATTGGTGTCTTCTGGGTAGAATATGGCCAGAAAACAAGATTTATTTCAATTGAATAAAGAATAAACAAACCTTAAGGCTAATCTTAAAAATCTGGAAATTCCTTATAAAAGTACAGGCTTTCACAAACTGTTGAGAAATACAAAGATTTGACAACTCTCAATCTGTATTCCTCATGAGAATTGTTTGGTTAAAGTTGACACTAACCATGATCTCTCAAGTTTGACATTTTTACACCTAGAGCAGCATCTCTCCTGATTCCTTCCTAGTGTCTCATAACCCCAGTACCCATGTTTAAATTTAGAAACTCTGTGAGTGATGAGATAATTAGGAGGAAAAAGCTTCAAGACGTGAGATGATACAGGGTCACAAACACAAATATCATTTAGAACAGAGTAAGGATTCATGGTTCTTGGAGGTAAATTGGAAAGAGGGAAATACAGGTGAATAAAATGGAAAGCTTTGATCTATAAGCAGAAAGAAAACTTTCAAATTGGATGGTTCAGCAAGAAGAGAATCTATTAGGTAAAAATAATTAGGTAAAGAAGCACGATGGAAGAAACTAAAATATGATATTATAATAGTTTAATTATCTATCTAGCCATACCTAATAATATGTCAGATAAAGAACAATCTAGTAAGTAAGTTAAGTAATTGACACTAGTTCAATTAGTATATTTGGCCATGCCTTCTTAATATCTATACAGAATTGAATACTATAAATGTGCAAAAGGCTACAGATACACATTTTGCTATTAATAAGGTATTCAAGCTAAAGGTGGCATACATAAATTGATCCAAACATTTGTTATTGCAACTTTACAAGTTAATGAAGGTTGCTTTCCTATCTTTGACAGTGACCTATTTTCAGTTATAACAGCTGATAACATGAATGGCTTGTTATTACTACTTTTATATGGTAATCTTTAACAGATAAAGAAATAAACAATAAAACAGTGAGCAAATACTGAATAATATATACAGATTTGTCACTTCCTTGCAATGAAGGAATAATTTGTAAAATCATTATTGTACAATGTGCAAACAGTTCATAAAAATTATGATTGCCTGTAGCAGAAATGACTAGTGAGTATTAATCAGTTTGACATTTGTAATAAAATATTTAGAATATGAAAATGTCTGATTGTTCACTTGGCTTTTGCAAATATGTTATTTAAAAGTCACATGAAATCTAATCATGGAACATTTTGGTTTATTATTATTTCCATTTCTTTCTCACATCACTATCATTTAAAAATTGTCATATAACTTTGTGTGTGTGTAAGCGAGTATGGATATGTTTTAAAAGCATTTTCACAATTCTATTTTGAAGTTTTAAAGACATTACAACTAACCCTCTTTTATCTGACTTGATTGAGCTATGCTTACAAATCTTCCTCATTTTTAAGATCTCATTAAATTTATAAAGCCCTTATGATATTTCTAATAAATTTTGTATCTACTTACATTAACATATGAAAAATTTACATTCGAATGTGAAATATTACTGAAGACTTTTTTTACATTTGTCGACATGATTTTTTTTCTTTTACTGTTTTTTAAGCTCCACATGCCTTCCGTTACTTTCCATAAGCACACCAAGAATTTGTTCACATATATTCATTAAAAATACTGTACATTTGGGAATTGTCTAAGATAGATCATTCCATGTATTATCTCACTGTATTTTAAAGATTTCTCAAGAATTTGGGAATTATGCATTCTACAGTTAACTTTGCAATTAAAATAATTAACATTTTAAAAACTTGATTTTAATGATAATGGTTTGTTTTTTATTATTGTAAGCTAAGAAATGACACATTTATGTTGCATTAGATGTGCATGAATCTGTGAACATTGTACTGAGAGATTATTTAGTCATGTTCAGTACTTGTGACTTGACATTTTTTCCATATTTGGATTTTTTTCCCCTTTTTTTGAAGTACAAATATCAAGTATAGGTGCATACAAATGTATAAGCACAGCTACTCATTAAGACAGCTTAATCATATCATAATAGGTCATGAAATGTTTCAGCTCTAAGTATCATGCTGTATCAAAATTCTTAAGCAGATAATTCTTGCAGGTTAACTAAAAACAGTTGCAAATTTTTACATGCTTTACTGTCAAAAATAATTTGCTACTACATGCATAGATTATTTTATAAAAAGGTCCAGATAAATTTATGCACCATCTGGTACTTGTTTTGATCTATAAATGTCCAGGAGAGCTAATTTTGAGTCGTGAAGCTTATTAGTTGCAGAGTTAAGATTCAAACTCAGGCCTGTCTGACTGTAGAACCAGAACCTATGTAACAAGTTACTTGTAAGAGTATATTTTAATGCTAAAAATGCATGCCATTATGAAGTACATAATTTTTGCCTCTAAAATAACCAAATATGCTATTCACCTAACATGATCAAATTCTGGGACAAATAGCAAATATTAATCTAGGATGTAAATTATACTGAAAATGCTTTTCTTCAAGTGTTGTGGGACTATTTTGCCTTTTTATTTGATTGTGTTTGTTAGAGTTTTTTTAATACTAAAATATCTTTCTTATAACTACTAGGACTCTAAGTTTAGAAGTCCCAAATAAGCTATAAATTTTGTTTTTTCATAGCATTGAGGCAAGTTGCCTTGCAGAAAAATATTTGCTTTTTTGTAAGCATAATTAAACACTTGACATTTCTTAAAGTTGTATTTTGTTTTGTTTTTCCCTTTTAGTGAACTGTGTCAGTACTAACTAAATTGATACAGCGATTATTTTTCTTTTTTGGGTCTGAAGTCACTGCTTGAAGTTTGCAAAAACTGATTCCTAATATGAGTATTCCAAATTTGCTTCTCAATTTGGGATGCCTTCCAATTCTAAGTACTTTTTGATGGATTATCAATGTCATTTAGATTAAATTGTAGTTGTAGCATGTTTGTTTGTTGTTGACAAGAAACACTACAGAGAAGAAAGGGTGTCACCTGGCGATGTAGTAAATGTTTTGCAAGTGAAAACAATGTTGTAGTAAACGAATTATCTGGTACTGGTAGTTGCTATTTCAAGTGGTGGGTGATGTTGAAAGAGATGTTCTAATTGAAAATTCAGTTAATAGTTTCTGTATAGAATCTATTTTTGTCAGTTGAACAGTCTAAACCAACCTTTCAGTTTAAGCCAATATTATCTTTAAAAAACATTTTTTATGACTAAGAGTTTTAGTTCTACTGAAAGTGAAACATTTTCAGTTTTTTCCTTTAACTTTAACGTTAAAATGATTGTTGAATTTAAGTGTTTGCTTATCTAGTGATGTTTTAAAAGTTGCATTATGATCACAAAATGACAGTTAAACGGTCTTTTTGTCTGTTTGACCTGCTTTTACTATCAGTAATAATTTGACTACATATTAGGAAAATTGTACAGATAGAAACTGCTTTTTAACGTTAACTTTTGTAGATTTATGTTCCTCAAGAGTCCAGATGTTAGGTTTAGTATTCTGTCTCTCTCATTTCTGAATTAATTTGGTTTAACCTACTGTTAAACAAAATGAAATTATATGAATTATCTTCTGAACAAAAGACTATATATTTTCCTTGGTGATAATGTTGTTAATGCTCAATGTAATTACAATAAATTTTAATGCTTCTAATGACATTTAGCAACTTATATTTGAGTCCTATTTTTTTTTTTACATATTTATAGTCTGAACAACAACCAGACTTAGAATCCACGGAACGTTTACTTCTCCATTACATCTATAGCATAAAAACTGTTTTCAACCTGCTAGTGGGGTAAAAAAAAACTAATCTTTCCTTATTGTTTCCAAAAAGTAGTAAGCACTCCATTCACAATATTATTCAGTAGTGATTATTTTTAGTCTTTCTTGCATTCTACACCAGGAATTTTATCTCAAATAGTTTTCAGTGCATAGATGTCGGTCCTAAATATAAACTAAACTGGTTTTTTTAAAGGAAAAATGCTGGAGTCATTCAAGAGCTTTTATTTATTTATTATTTATTTATTTTCAGTTTAAGAAAGCAAATTGTACACTAACAATTGTTCTGTTCTGAGTTTTGCCTAAGAAAATTTTTAAGTTTTTATATTTTGATTAGTTTATGTGTGTTGGTACTTTTTATTGCGTTTAAAAGCTTTTTTTTTTTACCATTTTTATCATTTCTATTAAATAAAAAAACTACTACTGAGCCTTTAACACAACAGTGGAGGAAAGCATAATAATTGTCATCTGTACTTAATAATTATTTATCTCATTAAGCATGATTTTCTTCCAAGAGTTAGACAATATAATGTCTCTTAAAACTTTGTTCAACTCTTATAGTCCCTTTTTTATATTATTTTCATTAAGAGTGAATAAATTAAACATGTTTTGTTACACATAGAAATTTGGAAGGCATGTTTTAAATTGTTTTTGCTACTAACTTTCTATGACACAACAAAGGTGCTGTTATTGAAGAGTTCTTTTTTCTATTAGTTAATAAGTATGCAAGGCATTAACATTTTTTGACTGAGTAGTAGGGATTTGTCTTTTGGATTTCCAAGCTTGGGTCTTCTCTCCAATCTGGACTTCTAATCTATTCATTCACTGCAAGCTTACAAGTAATAGTATTACTATTTGTGAATGTACAACTTCAAATATATTTACTGAAACCCATTTATTCAAAGGAAAAAAAAAAGAAACACTATCTAATTTGATGATTTGACCACATCCGTGCAGTCTCTGTTTTAGAGGCAGCCTTGTCATAGTAACAGGAAATGAGATATTTTTATTGAAGTACAGGTGTCAGGTATTACTTAATTTTTTTCCCAGACAAATAAATGGCAGCTAATGAGTATGTATAAAAGTTTCTGTGTATTGCAACTCTTGGTGCTAGTTGTTAACTTTTGTAAGGAATAGTTTTGTGCTTGATATAATTAAAGTCTTTTCCATTTTATGTGATACATAAGCCTTATACTTGCTGATTTCAACTACAAGTTGCTTCTTATAGAAACTATAATGTGTTAAGATAAACTGTTATCGTGTCTGATAGTATTTCTATCTTTTTTGTAATTTTATTTTTAGGCTATTTATACAGGCTTCCTCTCCTTATGAACCTAACATTCAGAATATTTGAGGAAAAATTCTGGAAAATATGCTTTTTTTTCAGAGATATGATGGACATATATCTCTTATATATAAAATATGACCAAAGTTTTCAATCAGTTTGTTTTCTAATTAGATCAGACACTAAGCTGGAACTTATTTAGAGTAAACCAAAACAAATAAATTCAAATGAAAGATATGAATTAGTTACTTTCTATCTTCCTTGCTAATCATGCCCCTGGCTTATAAAACTGGGCTGAGAATTACTTTTTGGTAGAGTCAAGAGATAAGTAGTACTCAGTAATATAATTTACCTATTCTGATGGCAATTAAACAGTAATAATGCTAGGAAAAAATATACCTGTCATATCTTAAATACTGTAATAATGACATTGTTTTTATTGCTTTGAAAATATAAGCTGCAATAACAGCACCTAGGTAAAGAACACTCAATTTCTAAAGTAGGCCACGTTCATAATTTATTTGATGGTGTAATTTACGAGGTTCCTGGGCTACTTTTTTGTAGATAATTCTAGGTATAAATAGCCCCATCCTCAGATTTCTTTGGAACACAGTTCTTAAGCTTTCAAATCTCCTTTAACTATTTTGACCTGTGTTTCCTTCCCTCAATTTAACGGTTGCTACCCTTAAGACATTAGAATCTATAGACTTGTATGGAAAGGCAGTATCCTTCTTGGTTCTGGGATGACTCCAATTTATAGTTGTCTCTCTTACTGATTGAGGTTACAGAAACACTTGGGAGGTCCAGATCACACACAGTTTAGATTATAGGCCATTGCCAGAGATGTATTTCCTTCCATCTCAGCTTACAAGTTGATCATTTCATGCCTGACTTCACTTCTTTTAGTTCCTTGCTAAAAGGAGAAACCAACATAAACCAATATATAAGCACCTTTTAACCAATTATCCAAGAATGACAAATTTATTAGCTATAAGACACAATTTCCAAATATCCACAGACGTCTTTATCATGTGCTTTGCTATATCATGCCAAGGGTTATCAGCTTTTGAGCGAACTATATCTGTTTGCTCATTTCCCACCATCTAATTACACAGCTTATGTGTCCATTTTATGTTTATATAGTATCTCAAATCTATTATCACTTTATAAATTAGATATGAAGAGGCTAGGCTTACACAAACAAACACACAAACAATCCTTAAAATACAGTGGCCAAACAAATTGGAAGTTTATTTTTATCTCATATAGAATTGCATGATCCACTCGTATCTCATTTAAGAAAACTACATGACCAAACCAAGATATAGGTGGGTTTGGAAACTTGCAAATATTCTAGCTGAGCATCCATGTACCTAAATAAAACTTAGAATGTTCAAATACTAGAAGAAAGAAGTGAAGAAAGGAAGCCAGAAACAATTATCTATGTCTACCATACACAGTCATTCTATGCATTCATTTCCTCTGATATACTCATCTTACTTTTTGGACTCCTGAACTTGGAAGAAAACTTTCACATACATTTAGTGCTATCAGTTTAATACTTCTTCAAATATTTCTAATATGCACATGATTCAGATAAATGTATATAAGTTTATTGGGAAGTTCAAATCTTTTAATAGTATTAACTATGGTACAATTTAAAACAATGTCAAGTTATTTGTGTTCATCCTAACTAGACAATATTGACCTAAATATATAATTATAGAAAATTGACTGAAATTAGCAGGATAACTAGTTATGCAAGGTCTTTTATTTTATTTAATAAACTAACTTCTGTATATATTTTAATAAATGAATGTTTTTTCACTCCACAAATAGATGTGTAAATGATACCTAATGACACTATCATTAAGAATTTTGTGAAAAATACTTTTAAAAAATATTTCTCCTGTAGAATCTACTTTGTTTGGTTTAATTACTACCTGACTATTTAAGATTAGTAGTTCACTAATTTATATATGATCATGTTACTTTGTAAATGACATCACCAGTTCTTGGATATACTATTGTTAATATCAAACTTTTGCTTGTATTTCAAATATAGGAAGAACATACTTCGTTTCTTAGATGCAGAACGAGATGTCTCAGTGGTCAAAAGCAGTTTTAAGCCTGGTGATGTCATACACTATGTGCTGGACCGACGCCGGACACTAAATATTTCTCATGATCTGCATAGCCTCCTACCTGAGGTTTCACCAATGAAAAATCGCAGGTTTAAGACCTGTGCAGTTGTTGGAAATTCTGGCATTTTGCTAGATAGTGAATGTGGAAAGGAGATTGACAGTCACAATTTTGTAATAAGGTGAGCTTTCTTCTGTTCCTAGAAATTGCAATTTCAAAGACGTTTTGCTCAGGGATAAAAAGTTGGCAGAGATGTTTAAATTTAATACGAAGCATTATTAAAAACTCAAACAAATGGTTTTCTATAATATACTTTTCTATGTAATATTGAAATTTATATTTATCTTTGAATAGAAAATTATAATTATTGTATTATTGAAAGAAAAAGTGATCTTGTAGTGACAAGATTGCAGCAATTTTTGGGGGGGGTGGGAGCAAGGCAAATAGCAGTCTTATTAGTTTTAATATTCACATAGGAAAAATATATATATGTATATATATATATTTTGAGTTGGAGTCTCACTCTGTCACCCAGACTGGAGTGCAGTGGCCGCTCCCGGCCACCGCAGCCTCGATCTACTGGGCTCCGGCGATCCTTCCACCTCAGCCTTCCAAGTAGCCGGAATTACAAGCATGTGCTACCACGCCCAGCTGATTTTTTTTTTTTTCTTTATTTATTGTAGAGGTGAGATCTCGCTGCCCAGGCGGGTCTTGAACCCGCGGGCTCAGGCAATCCACTCACCTCAGCCTCCCAAAGGCGTGGGATTACAGGCTGAGCCACTGAGCCTGGATAGAAAATATATTTTTAACTATCTTTTAAAAATATTCATTAATTTTGTGTGACTTAATTTGTTGTATGACTAACATTTCTATGCAGTGATATAACAGATAAAAATTAATTATACTTTTTATTGACCATTATTTAGCAGATCCTAAGAGCATAGTTTAGCAAGTTTGTATTTGGTATCCTTAGCCAAATTGACTTTATTACTCATTATATGTGGTATTTGTGTATGTTAATATATGCCAGTTTTATAATTTTCTCACATAATTAAAGATGCCTATTTGTTTTTATTAATTATCAAAAGACTTTAGATCAATTATGTGTTTTGTTAACTTGCTAACTGAAAAAAAAAATTCAGTAGAAATGGAATTGTGATCACATCATAGACATTAACAATTTTGAATTTCCAATCCTTATATCTGTACCGCTTTTAGTCTGAATGAATGAAACATAAGTATTGAAATATGAATGGCACAGCCATACAATATAATGATGGATAGGAAAGCATGCTGACTTGACTAGTGACAAATACTTAAAGTCCCTTGAAGATGTGCTGAAATATCTTCACAAGTCTGTAAAAGTACAGAACTTGAAAAAATATTTTTGAAATAATCTTGAAAATAAAGACAATTATGTGTGTATTAATCCTGAATAGGCAACTATTCTTTTGTAAAGTAATAATAGCCATAAAAATCATACTTCAACATTATCAAGTGAATACAGTTGATAATAAAAATTATAACTGTAAGCATTTTAACTTACTATCTTGCCTTTACTCATTTAGAAGGAGGGTCAGTGATTGGCTTGATATTAGTTGAAACTTTAAAAGCCTGAACTCTTAAATAGATTGGTCTGAGGGAAAACAAAAAACAAAAAAAAACCAAGCAACTTTGTATAGATATACAAAGAAAAGCATACAAGAAGAGAAGGTAAAAAATATTTGATGAGGGTTTGACAATGAAATAGAAGTAACAAACTTCAAAAACTGAGATCTTTAAAGTCTAGTTATAAAGAAAATTTAAGCCTTCTAGAATTTGAAGTGACTAAAATCACAGGGCAGGTAAAATAAGGATGTAAGTATTTCAAGGCTTAATCAAAAGTGCCATGATGTAAAGAAGGAAATGCTAGGAAAACAAGGTCCAAATATAACTGACTTCTTGTTTCTGCATCCTTCTGTGCTTTGGCATTGGGGCTTGTCTTCGCTGTTAGATTTAGTCCCACCTTTGACTCTGAAATGAAGATGACTTTTACATGTGGGTAATGAGAGAGGATGTTGCATTAGCCCCCAATTTTATATCAGTTCTTTGACATTGCTTCCTGCTCTGCTTTTCTTTCCCCAATTTCTATAGACTAGGTTCTTTGCATTCCGATTCCCAACCTACTGAGTTTTTACTTCATATACCATCTTACCTCACTTACTCTTCAGTAAGTGAATTCTAAAACTCTTTCTATATCTAAAGAGTGATTGATGATAGACCTTGCTTTACATTTTACCTTCTTATTTTTACTTTTCCTGCCTGCAGTTTCTAGAAGTTATATATTCTGCGCTGTATCTCACTCCCTTGCAGTTAACTTTGGCCAGCCCATAGGTTTCCAGATTTCTAGACTCTAGTCCACCTGTGAATATAGTTTTGATTCAACAAAACCATACCGCCCATCTCCCTTATTCTAAAATTAAAGATTATTTGAGTTTTCACTGGACAAGCGGCAACAAACACCTGGGGATATTTTCCTCACTGTGCTACTATGGACTACAGGGCATTTAGATAAAGACCATCATTTAAAACCTTAGATTAATAAACCACCACTCCAACTTTGAAATATTCATTGTATCATTCGTATAGCATCCCAGCTCCAGTGATGTCCAGTAAAATGATTTACCTGTTTTCCTCCATATTCTGTGAGTCCTAGATTTTAAATTTACACTATTGATGTCAGGTGGATTTGAGTATCTGTTGTTGGTTTCTGGGTTACTATTATCAATCAACTCAGGTCCAATGTTTTTGCAGTATGGTGGGAGGAGTAGCTTTATCACCACCTTAAATGGGAACCTCATTGAGTCTACAGCTATATTTTGACCTCACACTATTTTTTTACAATGTATACTTTATCTTCTTTTGGATACCATGAGTATACTCTGCATATATTCAAAATTTAAAAGGTAAAATGAGTTGCCTGAATAACCGGCAGTATTAAGTTGTATGAAAAAAATACTTTGAAAATTTTGAGAATAATGTTGAAATACTTGACCAATTATATCTCCTCTCACTGGTGGTTTCCAGAAGACTGCTTTTCTCAGAGAAGGAAAGGCCTCAGATAAACTAAAATGAGAGCTAGTGTTAAAGAATATATGCCACAGAAAATACTAATGGTCTCAAGTCAAAGTAGACTTATTTCCATAGTTTGTTATACAAGAGTACTTTTACAAGTCACAACAGATTACAAATATTTTTTAAAAAAATCTAGTAAGACTTGCTGGAATTTTAATATATATTTATGGCATTAGAACATCATTGCTAATTTTCATATGCATTCCTTGACAATCTACAAAGTACTGGAGTATATTTCCAGTTCTTGGTGAATTTGCTACATGAGTATTATCTGCATTTGAAACCAGAAATTTTAGATTGGAGTCTAAAATGGCATATATTTGAGGAGTTGCCAGTTAATTCACTATAATGCAAAAATTCAGTGAGCCCAGATATATGTTTTATATGTATATATAACTCAGATAACTATGTTTTTTAGTGTTGGATTTACATACACACCCGCAGGCACATACAAATATATTTTTTCATTTTCAATGGTAAATATACTTAAGAAAAACTACCATTTCCCTAAAAGTAGCCTTGGCCCTTTTCTCTCTTTAACATCATGCTGCTAATTCATTGACAAATTCCATAAGTGTTACCATCAAAACATATCCTGAATCTCATGACTTCTGCTGCTACTACCTTGTACTCTCTTGCTTAGAACTCTGCAATAGTTCCTTAACTGCTGCCCTTAGTTGCACGCTTTCTCCCTTACTGAAGTCAGTGTCTCCCTTAATCATCCAGCAGCTTCTCATCACATTCTGCATAAAATATGAATATCTTGCCAGTAACTATAAATCACATAATCTGGAACTTCAGGGACAACGTTTCTGACAGTTCTTTTCCCTGAAACCTTCTTTCCCACATACCTTTTTGTGGTTTTATGCTTGTAAATAACATCCTCTGCAAGATCTTTCCCGATTGCACTAACTGTAACATTCTATACCACCATCACCATCTGTCACCATCCCCTTGACCTTTATTTTTCTTTGCATTTCATGTTTACTTCTTTGTTGTTTATCTTTCCAAATAGAATGCAAGAGAGAAACTTTATTTGCATTCTTTCATTTTAGTTTCATTGTTTACAAAAGTATGTGATACATTGATACATTCTATAAATGTGTGCTAGAGGCAGATAGGCAGACAGGCAGCAAGGAAGAAAGGGAAAAAGGGAAGGAAAGAGGGAGGGAGAGAGGGAGAAAAGTGCTCTACTATACTTTTCCATAGTCTGTCACTTTGCATGTCTGGAAACCTCTTATATACACCTCAATCTTACCATCACAATGTTCTTGGTTATCTGGGATGAAAGAGCTATCACATAATCTTCTCTAAAACTATAACCCATCCAGCAGACATGTCTCTTAAAACCTTAGATGGCCAAACCTCAGAGCAAGATGCAAACACATCCTATAGTAAATGCAGAAACCATTATACTCTGTCTTTTCTGGAGTAAGGGATTATAGATTTGGTAGCCCTTGTCTCTTCAAGCAAAGTGTGAACGTCTTTGTGTGGTCTGCCTTTTCATTTGCTCATATTAATATATTTTTAAACATACGGTATTATAGTCTGTAATTTGAACTTTATAGAATGTACCTTATGGAATAATTTGCATAAAGTTGAATTTACATAAACTCAGTGTTTTACAGCCTGAAAAGATACTGTAGGGTAGAGACTACTATACATATTCACATCTGGAATCTTTTTGTAACTATTTTTTTTCCTAAACTATCATCATCTCTATTATATTATTCCTTAAAAGACACAGCATTTTTAAAGATGATAATAAAATTGAGAACAAATCTATTGGGTTCTATAAAGTCAAATTTTTATGAGCTTAACTTTCAAGAAAGGTTTCCAAGTCTTTTTCTACAAACTTGCAATGTACAAATTAGGTCATTAGCCACATAATTTACTGACTGGTACTAGAACATTTGTAAATGGTAGAACACTCTTGGGAATAGAAATTTAGGAGGCTCTTTATATTTTTAGAAGCTATGATTATTACAAATCTGTATTTAAAAGAACTAAATAGTGAGCAATTCTACAAGTTTAAATTTACATTATGGACTGACCAAGAAGTATATA